CATGAAAGCAACTTTCACATAATTAAGAAATCAATTATGCCATAAAGATGCCAGGACTAAATCCCTTTATTTTTCTAAAGGTTGTGCAATCCCATGAACTGTTTGGAAATTGCTTCCCAAGTGGCTTCGAAATCACATTTGGTTACTCCTTGCAAAGGAACGAAGCCATTTTTACGTGGTTAGGGCTGGAATTCAGTGAAGCATCTCACCAGAAGGAACTGGGATCACCTTAAAACATATGCCAGAACACAATTAAGGAAGCAATGTACTGTCAACTAAAGAAGTACAGCTCTGACTACTTGTGTGTCTATTACACGTGAGGCTTCTCACGGAGCAAGGCCTGAATGGGGCAATGTGCAGAAACCATGTTTGAGTTAGGATGAGAGTGTGTGGACCACAGGGCTTCAAACTCTGAGACCTAGAACGGAGATCATTTCTGCCATGAGACATGAGAGCTTAGAAAAGTGGCCTAATCTATCTGAATTTAATTCATCCAAGTTTTGGTCCTCATTACCAACTCAGAGCTAATGAATCTCTGCCCTTACAACTTCCTAACATGGTGGCAAAGTTCAAAAAGTAACCCTATATGAACTTTCAAGAGCTTGTGCGTGCTATGACCTACAAGGCTGAACGACATGGGATTGCCAATATTCACCAGTTTCTTAATCCGTGAACCTGATAATTTCAAATGTTCTGGGAATGTGGAAGATGTCTAAGTCACATTTAGAAATACGATGTTGATCACACCTAGCACTGAGACGTGTGGGCTGTACTCCCTCCCACATCAATGATCCTGAAAATATTGCTTGCTCCCTCCTTAGATATGTGAATCTGAAAAAAAATGATCAACATTACTGAAGAAAATATTAGTCAAATGAGCTGTAAGGGACGGGATTTTACACTGAAACTACAAGGGTAAGTACCAATTGACTGATACAGAGACAGAAAAATGGAAATAGATGCTTACTTTTGTCTTATCATTATAACTTTCTTCCCTAATGAAGCAGACCAAATGATGTGAAGAGCTGTATCTCCCAAGTCTCATTCACATCTTAGCTTTATTATGAACTGGCCATAAAATCACAGGTGTAGGTCGCCGGGCCTCAGTTTCCCGCGCTGTGATATGAAGGCTCTGCTCTGATATTCTCTGACCTGTATCTAATAAGCTACACTCATCAAGTGATCAGAAAGAAAAAGAAAACACTAAGACTCCTCAATAGGTCATGTATCTGTACTAAAATAAAAATGAGTCCATCCCGTAGAAATTCAAAAATAATTTTCCACAGGAAATCAAGAGTTAGTCTAAGTAAAAATTTAACAGTGATATTGGTCTGAGATCAGGATGGAAGCCAAGGAGAATAAACTACAGGAGGGGGAAAAAAAGAAAAAGAAAGAAAAACAGTATTGGTCTAAAGCACACACACACAAAAATATTGCTGAAAGGGTCTTAAGTAATTTCTGTAAAGCTATCTTCAGGGTTAACATCCCCTGAAAATACAAAGGTAAGGTGTCTGGTTCAAAAATGGGGCCACTGTCTTTCCACTAGTCTCTGGCCTCTGTAAACATAACCCCCGTGTTTATTCCAATGTGAGCAAATCAACCCAAATCATATTTATTTATAAATCGTAAAGAAAAACCTACTAATACCTGTAACAATTTGATTCACAGAAACTCAGTATAAAATTTAGCCTTCATAAAGCCTATGATCATGAAGGTAATTGGGAAGGAAATTTTGAAAAAGAAAAACCATGCACAAATCAAAATCAAGCAGAGAAAACACGCAGTGAGCATCTAATGGAAGTAATTAAATGGAAAGTACGTTATTGCCACCTTGTAGAAAGTATTCCCTTCCCACTAATTTTCCCTGTACTATAAAGAACAGCACAAAATTGATTCCTTACCAGCATAAACTCAGGACTATGTTTTTGGAAAGAAAATCACAGGCTATTGCAGGCATTTCCGAGCTGATTTATTCTTTTCAAATGATTGCCAGGGAACTAGATTTCCATTTTTCTTTGTCTAGTTATTCATGCTCTTTCTGGGAGATTTGCATGAAAATAAAAGAGCTGTAAACAACTCAGTCGAAGAATACAGCAACTGGAGAATTGGTATAGATGTATATCAATCATTGCAGAGCCATGTATATATAATGCAACAAAGGCAAAATTAGGCCAAATGTCTATATTTTGCCAAGATTTCATTTTGCAGTCTGTTAGGTTTCCGTGCACAAGTTATCACATCTGAAGTTAGCTCTAATAAGACTGTGCGGTAACAACTCAAACCCGTGCAGTGCTACTTTAAATGAACACCCCAGGTAATTACGAGTTGACTCATTCCTCACTATGTGTCTGTGGCCCCACATGCAAAAGAGCGACAGTGTGTTTCTAAAATTTTTTAGGCTTTCAAAATAACACAATTTTAAGATGCATTTTCTTCTTTGATGAAATAGATTGTTTTATGAAATAAGAATTGGAAAATAATTTCCCTCTAAACCAATGCCAGCCAGTCAGACAATAAGCATTGGATAACTGATCCCATGGGGACACCAGGTAATGCATTCTTGTGTAAGCCATGTAAATAAACACAAATAGCACATGTCCTTGACTGACTGAGGTAGATCCGCCTGGTTTATCAAGTCTCTAAAACTATGACACCAAACTACTTTCCTTATTTGTATGATCTAGAGAAGCTGTTTAAAATTGTCCTAATTTAGCCCAGTGGGTGTGGCTCAGTGGATTGAGCCTTGTTCCAGGGACTGAGAGGTCCTGGTTCAATTCTCAATCAGGGCACATGCCCAGGTTTCAGGCTCGATCCCCAGTAGGGGGCGTGCAGGAAGCAGCCCATGGATGTCTCTCTCTCACATCCATGTTTCTATCTCCCTCTCTCCCTTCCTCTCTAAAAAAAAGCAATAAAACATTTTTTTAAGAATTATCCTAATTTACATGATGCTGAGAATAAACTTCCAGAGCTTTTTTAAAATACAAAAGGTGTTCTGGTTATGAATTCATCATTAAATTGTAAAGCTATGGGAAGGCAGAAACCCCATCTTTCTCAGGTCTATCCTTAATGCTTTTATGTAACAGATCTTCACTGATAGTTTGTTAAGAGTTAAGTCAGCTATGCCAGTCTTAGCTGATAATGGGGTTGCATCATTAACCACATTCTGAGTATGGATGGGTGTGCCTGACCTTCTGGGACAAAATAAATCTCTAATAAAGGTGCTGTTTTGTTTTGTTAGATACTGAAATGTCATCTTAAAAATCACTTTAAAATTTCCTAAAATCTTTTAATACCCCTCTATTTTAGAATACTCATATGAGCTTCCAAATATTCCTGTTAAAAATTCTGAGTCTCAAGAAGCAAGGAAAGAAGGGCCACTCATTTATTTAGAACAAAGCCTGCAAAATGCAGTGAATGGGCTAAATCTGGCCCAGAGGTAAAGACTGTTTTTTACATTGTTAAAAGGTGGAAACTACACGAATTTCAAGTGTCAGTGGACCTAACGTAAAACTTGGCTATAATAGCCACTCTTATTTGCTTCCATATTGGCTGTTGTGGCTTCTATGCTACAAGAGCAGAAATGAGGGCAGAACTGAGCAGCTGCTAGAGACTATGGGCCAGAGAGCCTGCAGTATTTACTATTGGTACAGCTCTGAGCTAGATGGTCAGATCATTCATTATTTATTTACTTACTTTATATTTCTGTTAAAATTTTATTTCTACATTTAACATTCTGATAAAAGGTTTAATCTATTTTATTGCTATGTACTGATGTTAAATATAAATATAACAATCTACAATAATATCTTTAACATTTAGAGCCTATGGTCACAGGAAAACAGATTAATTCATCTTAAACTTGTATTCACATTTTTATAGTGTGAAAGGATGATGAAGGGCTAATAAAATACTTCTAAGTATAAAATATATAATAATAGTAAGTTTGGAAAACAAGGGAATGGAATTGTGAACTGAAGACAAAAAAGAAACAATTTAAAAATAGATGGTCAAATCTTTTAAACCACGTCATTTAATAGGTGTCAATTTGGCTCATCAGTACTTTTCTTGTTAATTAGATAAAAGAATAAAAAGAGAATCACAGAGCAAGTAGGTCAGCATGATATGCTACTGTGCCATTCTTCTGAGGTCATTTTGGCTGAGTCAAAAATTTCCAGAGTAAACTGGAGGCAATTTGAGAGAGTTTCTTAATACCGTGACATGCATATCTTGGGAAAGGCTCTTATCAACCCTTCCTTTTATAAGAGCTATTCTAGTCAACTTTGTCACAAAACAATGAACATCATCAAAGATCTAAGAGTCAAGGTAAAAATTAATGTATAAAAGGTTGTATGTACATATGGTTGCAAAATCTGGCCAACGTATGCAAAAATATATTGCTGAAAGACAACCTAGAACAAGGGTGCTGAAACATGGCAATATGATACTACTTTGCTTCTCTGCATGCAGACATTTTCCCCAGGAGCATGCACTGGGTCTCAGAATCCTACCCAACACAACACTCAAGGAAGTCACATACGGTAAAACCTCTGTGCTATCCCTACTCTATAATGCTTTTCCCAAATGTGAGTCACGTGCATCCCAGGAGAGGTGCAATATAACTCATTAGGATGAGGGAAGTTTGCATGTTTTTAAATATACACATTATTGCTCGAATATTGTGCATACTCAAAACCCTTATATTGATAGGTGTGTTTGGATTGGGGTAGAGAGAACTAACTCTGTGAGTTGAGTCTCTTTGTAATCCAGTTGAAAGAATTTGAATTCAATTTCACAATATAGGTGGAACTTCTCAAAGGGAAGGTTATGATGAGAAGCAGAGAAGGTTGTTGAAACTGAAGAGAGTACCTCGCACTAGCTCATCTGAACCTAGGATGCCCTGCTGTCTCACAACCTCATCTTCTGCATCACCCACCAATCGCGTTAACGTGAGAGAGTCACTCATCCCAACGCCTTCTAAAATGACACGTGGACACACTCACTGTTTCTGAAGTAAATGCTGGTGCTGCTGCTGCTGCTGCTGCCTGTATGTCTCAATCGTGTGCTGCGGGAGGTACTGCATGAGTTCCAGGGATTCTTTGATCTTCAACAGCATTTCGTATGTCTCACGGCCCCTCACCTGGGTAAAGGGGCAGAAGGAGAGAAGGACAAATGAAGGACTCTAGAACTACTGGGACTGTCAACGCTCATTTTTCATGGGGTCTGTCTCGCCTACTTGCTAACATTTATTTTTAACATGCAAATCAGTACTGTGTTGCACGTAGCGGTCATTTGCAGACTTGAGCAGTGACAGAAAGCTCGAGTTGCCCATGCCCGCTGCAGCTGAGGTGGAAGCAGGCGGGGAGGCTCCGCCGTCCGTCTCAGCGCTCATGCTGTGAACAGGTGTCCCTTCTGGGGTCTGCCTAGTGCCACCTTTTCCCCGTGGTGTTGTCGGCGAGTTTGCTGTTCCAAGTGGTGCCTGAGTGTAGTGCTGGAGCGCTGTCTGGTGTTCTGAGCGTGAGAAGGCTGCCATGTGCTATTGGCTGGGAGGTCAATGCTAATGAGGCAACAGAATGTGCTTTAAACGGTACCTTTAAACAGAAACACACAAGAAACGAGGTTGTGTGTTGATTGGCTGTGGAAAGTGCTGTGACCAGAGGCTCACCGAAACCTAATCCTGAGTGTCCCCTCTGAGCAATGGTTCAGTGTTCGCAGTCACTTGATAAAGCATAACTATCACAAAAAATGAAAATGACCTGTAACTACCCCTGGAAAGACGCAAGTTTTTAGCTGGAGTAAAATGTGTTTCTCTCTTTAAGAGTCTGAAAAGCTTCAAAAAGTGTGAGCCGGGGCCAGGGCCTGTGGGGCACGCGGGGCCCTTCCAGGGCTCTGAGAGTGGGTATCTATTTAAATTCTTCATCCCCGGCACCTCACTTCCCTTACCAGGTCTCCTCCTTGAATATGACAGCCAGAACTCGTCAGAATTCAGAAACATTTTCTCTACCTTTTGTTGGGTTAACTCCCACTTATCTGGCTCTGGGGTCACCTTCTCTGAGAAGCATTTCCCAGTCTCACTCTTTGAGGCTCAGTCTTCTGCTCAAGCCAAGCTCCACTGAAACAGCCATTTCATTACATCACACCTGTCCATCTCTCCTGCTAGAAGGCCAGCTCTCTGAAGGTAAGGACTGTCTCCTACTGATCCCTAAATGCTTGCGGTCTTCAAACCTGCCACTCAACAAATGCCCATCAAATTCATATTATATTTAGAGTTTTCTTTCTCATACAGTTTGGTTTGACTGATTCTTTAAATTTATTTTTTAATAATAGTTGCTATACAATATTATATCAGTTTTAGGTGTATAACATTCACATACCTTACGAAGTGATCACCCTGATAAATCTTGTACCCATCTGACACCACACATAATTATTACATTGTTCCATATGCTGCATTGTACATTCCCGTGACTGTTCTTATAACTGAAAATTTAATCCCTGTACCCTTTTCACCCATTTCTCTAACCCTCCCTCAATCTATTGACCATCAACTTGATTTCTGTGTTTATGAGTCTATTTCTAATTTGTTTATTCACTTACTTTATTTTTATTTTTTTAGATTCCACATGTACGTGAAATAATACGGTTTGACTAGTTCTTCAATAAACATAAGATGTAACTGACTCCAGGGCATCTCTTTCACTAGTACAGACTGAAATTTCATTTAAAAAGTGCTTTTCAAGTGTTTCCTATGTCAGCAGCTAAAAACAAACCAGGGTTTTTGGATCACAGCTGACCACTGAACAACATGGGTTTGAACTGAGGGAGTCCACTTATACATAGATTTTTTTTTTCAATAAATATACAGTCAGCCCTCTATATCCTTGGTTTCAAACCCATGGATTCAACCAACCTCTGATGGCAAACAGTATTTTTGATCCCTGGTTGTGAATCCCTGAATGTGGAGGGCACTCTCTACGCATTGTTCTACGCCATTTTCCGTAAGAGAATTAAGAATCTGTGGATTTTGGTATCCGTGGTCGAGGGGAGGGGCAACTGTATTTAGTATGTCTGGATAATGTTTAACTTCAAGTTCACAGGTCAGATTCTGTATGTAGCCTGAGACACTTGACCCTGAGAATCTGAGCTAACTCACTGACTGATGGTTCTACCAGCAGTCTATTTCCCTGATGGTCAGGGTCCAAAGAAGGCAGGGAACAGGTATGGCACACCCAAACCTGTTGAGTTGCTTTAGCCTCAATCCCAGGGTGGCAGCTCCCAGTCAAACCTGGCCTTGCTTGCCTGTCCCATGTCAGTTTAGATGGCATCAAGGGCCATACTGGTTACCCTAACTTTGCTGCCATTCTAGCTGGCAAAGACCGAAGGGAAATAAGATTTCAACAAACTGCAACCATCGACAAAAACAGGGCACCTTAGGGATCCTGAGAGGACTAATGCTCCTTGTAGGAATGAACAATGACTGGGCTGAGTCTTCTGGCCACTATCGTGTAATTGAGGATTCTGCCTTGTGGCTGTCTTTACAGCACTTCCTAAAGAAAATCACAGTCCATTCTCTATGAATTTTGTATGATCGACTTTGTGAACTCCTCCTGATGAAATTTTAGTGCTAAATTGGTTTGGCCATGTTGCCTAGGATAATTTTATCGTTCCCAAATAATGAAGGACAAATTAATTTTAAATATTTGGGTAAGGAGATTTCTATTTGGAGAGTAGCTTTGAGTGGGTGAGTAGTAAGTGGAGGAGCCAATACTATTAATATATTTTAGAACTATGGAGGCAAGGGATGACTTCCTGATTTTTCAAAAAGCAAAAAGTGTTTTCTCTCTTTTATCTCACTAGCCCCGATCACCCATGTCTCATTTTCACAGGTAATCAGAATATGACCACAGAGTAAAAGCTCATTGAAAGAAGGTGAAAATGAAGCAACATGGATCTCAAGGGAGACTCACTGGTAAGTATAACAGCTCATCATCTGGAGATCTCCGTTTCTTGATGGATGTCATCTGGATGCCATGTGTGTTCTGACGAAAAGCTGGTGGAGAAAAAAGGCAAGCTTCAACCTGGGAACATTTCTGAAGCAATGATACGTTTACTAAACGACAGAAGCACCAGCCACACCTCTGGGATGAGCGTTTCTAGCTCTCAGCATCCGTTGCATTGGTGATGGCTGCTTCTACAGTAAGTGCAAACCTAACAATGATGAGGTGGGGGTATGCCCTCAGCATCTGGGGTGAAAGGAAGAGTTTGGGGATGCTGGGAAATGGCCTGTGGCTTAAGTCTTGCTGCAGGAATCCCTGTGTCTTCCTGGCCTGTGTCTGTGAACAGCTAGTAAAGAAAGGAAGAGACATTGGCTTTGTGTTTTGTTTTTCAGGTCATTTATCTTCCGAGGTGGTAAACCTGTTGTAGAGGTTGTCTTGCCGACATATTCCGTCTTGTGGGTTCATCCCTCCCACGCTCGTATGTACATCACACGACTTCTGACAAGCAGCCTCACTTCCCAGGACCTCAGTTTTCTCTTCAGTGAAATGAGCGAATTAAGCTCATAAATCCCTGTAGCTTCCAAAATTAGAAACTACATTCAGGATTCAGCGTATAGAGATGATTCTTCTACCAAAGTTCGGATAATCTATTCTTACTGATATTCAATCATTTGTGGTCATTGAGGTGCTCAGGAGAGAATGTAGGAACTAGGCCACTGGGCAGACTCAAGAGCAAAATTAGGGTAGAAATATAATTATAGTATGTATGTGTGTGTGTATGTGAGTGTATACATACATACATACATACATACATAAAACCTTTTGGGGAATAATCAGAAAGACAAAGAGTCTAACAGGAAAGGCAAATCATACTGAACAGTTAAAAGTTGATAGTGACTAGCTGTCATAACATTCTGTGGTTCTCCTGTAAATTACCGTACAATTTCTATTTCCTCTGGATACTAATTAGTAACAAAATTAAAATCGTTTTCCATGAAATAAGTTAGTGTGGCATACTTTAAAATATCTGTTGTGGTGATATCAAACTTATGCGAGACACCTACTAGAATCAAATCTCACAAGCTGGAGGCACGTGTGCTCAGTGGTTTCCTTTGTGGCTGGAGGTCTGGGCCTCTGCGGGGTGTGCCTCGGGGTGGCTGGGAGTAGAGTACGGGCCACAGACCACCTCCAGCTCATGTCCCCTTCAACTAGAGCCCCTCTGCTTTGTTTTCATCTATTTTTCATTGTGGGTTCTTTGAAATAGTTCATTTTTGAAAAAGCATTTTCTTCTTTTTTTTTTATCCTCATCCAAGGACAGTTTTTTCCATTTTTTGTTCAGATAGAGTGGGAGGGAGAGAGAGGGAGAAACATCAACATGAAAGGGACACATCGAGTGGCTGCCACCCGCACGACCAACCAGGGCAGGGGACAAACTGTAACCAAGGTATGTGCCCTTAGCGGAAACCGAACCCGGCTCTCTCTGGACCGCAGGCCGATGCTCTACCTGCTGAGCTAAACCCGCCAGGGTGAGCATTTGCTTCTTAACAGAACAACTAAACCAAGTCATTAGCCCCACTACAGATAAGATGATTGAGGCCTCAAAGTCAAGACTCAGTGAAACCCAGATGTGTATGTTCTCCAGAGGGTGCTTTACAAAATGTATTCTTAAATCTCACTCTCCCCACAGACTTAGGAGGTTGGTGGATATATTTTCAGCCCTTGTGCTCAGTAACAGAAAGATAAACTGATGCCAACAGGCTAAGACACTGATTCTCAAACTTCAGGCCGCATCCGAGTCCCTGGGAGGGCATACTAAATACAGCTTGCTGGACCTTAAAGCCAGAGTTTCTGATTCAGCAAGTCTGGGAACTAGAAATTTGTATCTCTCCCCAGTTTCCAGATGCTGTTGATGCTGCTGGCCTGGGGGTCACATTTTGAGGCTTGCTGGACTAAGAACCCCACACGACGACTCTCTGTTTTTGCCAAGCTGTCGTGCACACCTCGGGTCCGTCTGAACACTTCCGTCCACGCCAGAGCCATTGCTGCCGACTCCGGGGCCTCAGTCATACTTGGCCCTAGAGACCACTGGTCCTATCACGCAGCTTCTCACAGATCACCACCCAGCCCCTGCGTCTGGGTAAGACTTGACCCTACTCCATTTGGCCACTACAGCTACTTACGGCGCTTCGTACCATCACCGTTCTTTGTGCTGTCCGAGACCTGCTGCTTCCGGATGCTGTCTTCATCGGCCTTCCTGTCTCTCCCGGGGCAAGCACAGATCCGGGCCTCGAAGCAGCGCCGGCCCAGGACTTGCCCACTAGGAATCGGAGAGAAGGGGAGGAAGGGTCAAATGAAAAGAACTGTAAAAGTTCCCTAAAGTTCTCCCATTTCCACTGCTGGTCATCACCCATCTCCCACCACCCCCAGCTCAGTCATGGCTGCTTTGAGGGTGCCCCCCCAAAGCACTTGGCAAAACACGAAAGTGCGCACATGCCACGAGCTGTATTCGTCAACAACATTCCATTTGTTCTGCAAAGAACCTCCAAGCCATTAGCTGCACAGCTGTATTTAGCTACGTATTTTGAAGGAAGCTTGAATTAAGCCAGTGGATGTCTCTGGATAAAACTCCCCTAGGCGGCCCAGACTTACTCAAAGAAACTGTTAAATGCCTCGGGGGCCACATGAAAACAAACACTGTCTAATCACAAACCATTCCAGTTAAATGTCAAGAATTCAGGTATGAAGCGACTTGCATGCATGCCTTCCCTCTTCTTCCCCTCCATGTTTACCCACCCTGTTTTGTCTCCACTTTCTTAGATCTTTTAGGTAAGTATTTGCAGCAAGGATTTAAAGCACAAGGGAGAAACTCAAGGCTAGCTCTCTGCTGTACATGCAAAAGCAACAATAAAGCAAACACAATTTCACTTCGCCCTCTGCCCAGGGTGTCCGCAGAATGGCAATTCTGCACGTATCACTTACTCTCTGGTTTCCAGAGTAACAATGATTAAAATTGGACGGCGGTTCATCCCTCCAACACAACTGCTGTTACACATGAAATTGTATAAGACTGTCGTGAATTCAGTGCCAACCTGAACATGGGGAAAAGGAGTCTGTGTTAACAATGATCTGACCAAATTTGCTTCCTTCTCAGTACTTCCTTCTCTTTAAACAAATCCACTTCTGATGAGGTGATCATGCTTTTTTTTTTTTCTAGGAACACAGGCTAAAACTCATCGTTGTTCCTCTTTGCCTCTCCTGTTGGGAAGCTGAAAGCTAATGTTTGCAGCCCTGGACACTACATTAGGGGAGACAGGCCTTTAAAAAATCATCCTTGACCCAATTCATTTGCAAGCCGATACATGTCACCCAATTCAAACAGGGTTAACCCCATATATGAATATTGCTATACAGGGAGAGCTGAAAACATTACCAAAAATAGCAGCAATGCTCCAGGGATATTTTCCCGATGTGGATAAAACAGAGTAACATAGATTTGAAGATACACTTCCATAAATAACACACTGGGGCTTAAAAGGTCCTCAGCATTAAATCATCTAATCCAAAGTGCTTATTTATGGATAAGGCAACTGAAGTCCAGAGAGGAGGAGTCACAGTTAGAGGTTCACAAAGCAAGGAGCAACCAGGACAGTGGTCTCCCTCTACCAGAATTCTGCTTTTCTAATCTGCCACCTGCTCATTTGAACTTTAGTGAAGAGATCGCTCCCTCTCAGGGTCTCCCATTTGCATCCAGTACTGGCGCACATTCACGACCACCTCAATTGCCAGTTAAATTCTCTGGATAAGACAAGGTCATGTGTTAACCTAGTTGTAAGCACAATGATTATCAGGCTTTAATATGGGAACATGGGCACAGAGCCATGTTACTAGGCTAATTTAGTACAAATTTAGGAATTCTCAAGCAGGTAGAAAAGTGGTGTGTGGAGGAGGGAGAGAGGAGATAATGAAGGTTACATACTTGATAAGAATGACTAAGACAGAAACAGATGCTTGAAACCCCCTCTATCACTGAAATGAATGCTCTCCCAAGTTGGCCCAGTCCTTGTCTTTTTTACCTGGGGTGGCTCGTAAGGTACCAGCACACTCTGTCTGCCTGTGATGGGGTCTTCTACATACTGGGCATGGCTGTTCCCTTCCACTCGAATCAAATGACTGGGAGGGGCAATCTGTCCTGCAGAACAGAGATTAAAAAAATAGTTAGTTCTTCACCCTCAAAGCAAACAAAAAGAAACAGCGTAGGCAGAATGTTGGCCGAAGAAATGGTTTCATAGAGGAAATACACATCCTTGAAAAAAAGGAAAAGACCCTGCTCAGGTATCTAACACATGAAGGTGTCCCGACCGCTACAACAGAAAGGACTGGAACGCTCGTATACATTTCAGGGAACAGTCCTATGTTTCTGGTGCTGGAAGCTAATAATTCAAGATTTTAGAGAACTCTGAATACATCTCTAACTGGATCCATAGAGGGGATTTTGCTAGATTATGGAAGATAGAAGGAAAAAAAAAAACAAGTTAATTTAAAAAATATGCTTGTGTCCAGCCAGTGTGGCTCAGTGGTTGAGCATCAATCCACGCACCAAGAGGTCATTGGTTCTATTCCCGGTCAGGACACATGCCCAGGTTGTGGGCCCGATCCCCAGTGCAGGGCATGCAGGAGGCGGCCGATCAATGTTCTCTCTCATCGATGTTTCTCTCTACCTCTCACTTCCTCTCTCTCTAAAATAAATAAAGGGGAAAAAAATTAAATGAAAAATAAGCTTGAGAAACAGTATTCAAAAATTGACCAGAAAAATACAGATGGCAAGAACATCACTTTCCCTTTGCCTATTCTTTTCTCCTTATAAAGTCTCCAACTTTAGACCTTGCTTTCGTCATAAAGATGAGAAACTTACTGGTTTTTCTTGTGCTGAAGGGGCCCAAGGTTGGAGAATAAGCAAGGAAAAGCAATTTTTTAAAACAGCGTGGGCAAAGTATCACAAAATTATGCTGTTAGACAGGGCTCCAAAAGCAAGAAACTGATCCAAGAGTTGGGAACCATAAAAATATTCCCAGCTTTTGACCATGCATTATCACAAAAATTGATATTTAATAATAGTAAAGGACTAAGTGTATCAAGATGCCCTTTGAAACATCATCTATTATGGCAAAAAAAAGCTCCTAAAAACAGCTATTATGTCAAACATTGAGGAAAAAAAATAAACAGTTATGTCATTATGATGGATTAAAAGCAGTTACAAAATCCCATAATAAAGTTTAACTCTAAGAAACCATCCTTATGGCATACTGTTAAGTGAAAAGCAAGAGGCACAGGTATGGAAGGATAAGGAGGCTGTGTAAAAAGGACTAGAAATTAATATATACAGATCAGTTGTGTTAAGGTGGGAGGATTTAGACCTTATTTTCTCATCTGAAATTTCTATACATTCTTTTTCTTTCTTTATTAATTTTTCTGTATCATCTCTTACAGTCTCCACATTCATATGTTCTAGCTACCAACCATCTTTCCATTTTAAATATGGTTTCTATATAAAGTGTCCCAACTCCCAACCCTCCTGCACCTGCATCACTCTCTGATGATCCATGTACATTCTCCTATCCTTTCCCTTTTCTGTGTTCTGTACTTAGACTCTTTTCACAAAACCTTAGAAGATCAAAGGTCAGGGAGCCCTTGGAAACAGTGAGCGCTTCTGTAAAGCAGTTGCTGGATTTGTGGCTCAGAACGGAGGTATGGATAGAGACCTCAGAGGTGGCCCAAGAAACTGCTCTTTACTGTCCCCTTCCCGGGCTTAGATTTCTCTTGCCCATTATTTGTCTTCTTTCCCACCTCGCTCTTCGGTTTCTTCATATTGCTCATCTTTTATGCTCCTTCCTCTTACCTTCCAGCTCACCTGGGCAGGCTTGGGCATCACTCTGGGAAAGGCACTAAAGCCGGATTCCCTAGCTTGGGCTGAACAGACCTAATGACCAAATGCTACATTGTTCTTCTTACACCTCCTCATTAAAAAAGAAAAAATAAGCAGTAGGAGGTAGAGAGGCAAGTCCAGGTTATCTAGTAATTACTAATATCAAATTAAATAGTTCAATCCTTGTGAGTCATTGAGAAAGTTGTGAATATATTGATCATTGCTCTCAGGCACTCTGTCAACCAATAAAGGTAGACGGAGCTGCCGTCAGATTGCAGAGGATGGAACCAGGTAAGTGGGCTCCAGACACAAGTCTCCCCAGGTCCTCTTTTCAAGGAGCTTAGTTTAACAGCCACAGAATCCTCTCCTCCTTACCCTCGTTGAATTCACGGCTCAGCTCGTGGTTGGGGCACCGCTTCACCACCTCGGTGACATGCTCAGCTTTCTTGTAGACGGGCATGGCTCGGATGACCGCGCCCTGAGGAGGTGGGGTCATCACCTTGATCTGGATGGGGCATGTCTTGGCAATTTGGCAGTAGAGTTTCTTCAGTTCCGTGGAATACTGCTTAGAGATGGGCCAATGGTGGAGGGAGGGAAAGAACCAACAGGACATATTGTTACATCCCAAATCAGAACAAGGACCTATGTCTACCTTTCACAGCCTTGATAGCTGTGTGTTTACCACTGGCTACTACATACATGACCACGAGCAGTCTTCATAGAGTAAATAAGATTCATTAATCAAAGTAATATTTTTCTACTTTAAATAAAATCCAATGTTTACAAAGGGTTTCACATTTTTCAAAACACATTTATAACATTCCGTCCTTTCTTCAGGATGAAGAAACGGGGTCTCAGAGGGGTTTTAATGATTAATACCAGGAGCCGCTTTATAGAGCACTAGAAACTAAATGGAAAAAACAATGTTCACATGAATTGAGTGATATTAAACATTATAATAAACCCTGCCCTTACAATACTCTAGAGAGATTCACAGGAATTAGGGTTTGGGGACATTTTATTTTTTTGAAGATGAAATGTCTGGCAGAATGTAAGGACATTTTCCCAAAAGTTAACCTGCTAGAAAAACTACAAAACTAAAGTGCCCCCAAACTACCGCACTTATCTTCAATGTCACAGCCTGAGAGAATGCAAAGTCCAGAAGTGATCATTTGGTTCTAGACTCTCATGAAAAAAGGTCTGGCCTCATGAAACACAGCAAATCATGGCAGCAAAAGGATCAAGACAGAGATTCTCCCACTCACAGATGAGTGAAACCTCTCCTGCCCATACGTCCTTCTGCAGGGAGAGGAATTTCAGTGGTTGGTTGATTGGTTGGTTGGTTATGAAATTGGCAAAATAGCATGGAGAAAGCAAGAGACCTAGAACCAATTAGAAAAAAAAAAGGGAAAGAAAAGTTCTGTCCTGTGCTGCTTTCTCTTTCCACCTCTGAACCAGTATAGAAAGTCTCCATTCTAATCCTATACATGATTAAATCTTAGTTCCCCTGTTGTCTGGGTCAGTCCCCCATCACTGTGTTCATACTCACTCTGATGCTGGAGTGAAATCACCCAGGCACTAGAATTGCTAGCCAGGAGTGGAGCACCTAGTAACACTTTCCCAAACAAGGGTAAACACACACACACACACACACACACACACACACACGGCAATCATAAGTTGGTAGCAACACCCTTCCAGGGGAAAGACACAGGGGATTAGGAGTCAAAGTAGCAAAGAGTCCTTATTGATATGCTCCAACCCAACTCTGACTAAAGCAAATATCTTACCAAAAAGCACATTTAAAAATAAGTGCTGTATCTCTTCCTTTTGAAATATAATATGTATTTAAAGGATTTTTTTTTTTATAGCTCAAGTATTTCAGCACATGAAATTTTCAGTTAAAAACTTCCTAATATTAGAAGCGCATTGCATAATCAGTTCTCCATGCCCGCAGGTCAAGGATTAAATGCAGCAGAATGGTTTTAGACAGCTTGAAGAAATAGGAAGCATGCCAAAATATCAATCACAAAAATAAAATTCTTCTTGGGAAGCACTGATTGAAATCTGGATGGATATTTTTGCTCTGGTGTTTGAAATCAATGACTTTTTAAAACAAATTTGTTGTCTTAGGACATGTTAAGAACTGACTTTTACTGAGGACTCCAAGAAAATAAGGCATTTTATTTGCACTCTAACCATGTGTCTCATAAGATGCACCTCAGGAAAGATGACTGAAAAGTCAATATTTCAGGTAACACCTGAAGGCAAATAATGCATCCACCCAAGTATGCAAAGATTGCAAAAAAAAAAAAAAAAAAAGTGTTCAGAAGAAGACAGTTAAGAGAAACATTCCATTTCAATAACTGATATACTATAGCTCAAGCTTGATAGACTAAAATACAGAAGTATTATAAAAATTGGAGAAAAAAATGCATGGGTATTAAGAATCATTTCAGGCCTCATCAGGTGTTAATCCTCACTTGTCCTCAGGGGTGAGAGAAGTGAATCTAATTTTTAAACTTTAATGTTGATAAATAATAACAGCTTCTCTGTTTTCTGGATTTTGTTGAAAGAAATTGAGCCTTCAAGTAACCCTATGAGGAAGGTATTATAGGTCTATGATCTTGTATCTGAATACCCTGGGGCCAGATGTTTCAGAATCCAGAATTGTTTAATTTTTAGAAACGGAGTAAAGTTCATATATATTATAAACAGCTCCAGCAGGGCTTAGGACAGTGCCCAGTAACCAAACCTCGACATTTCTGTAAAGTTCATGAATATGCATACCATCTGAGAAATGACTATAAAAGCCTCAACTTCAGGCTGGATCTCACCCCCAAATATACCCAGTGATTCAACTCAATAGAGCCTGCAAATTGGAACACCTCTGAATTCTTTTACTGTCTCTCTTTCTCTCTGAGACTTTTCACATTCACATCTGAAGTGATCCCAACATTTTGGCACAGGCATAAAATTAAAACAAAACCGAACTTGATTTTCAGAGCTCTTTGAATTTCAGAATTCCAGGTAACAGATAATGGATCAGTATTTCTACTCCCATTTTACAGATTAAAACAATTAAGGCACAGAGAAGACTTTCCTGAGATCACAGAGAAGAGCTGGTTAGCAACCAGTATATGAGTCTGTCCTCATCAGGTAACAGTCCCTCATCTCCGTATTCTCCAGGCTCAGGGATGCAAATATTTGTACTTTCCCACTGTTCCAATTCACAACAATAGGGCTATTTTAAAAAACCAACTTAAAGGTATACAATCTTTTTAAAAATGGAACTCAAAAGTGATCTACTTAACATTTCTAAATCCTCTTTTTATTTCTCAGTATAATAATGTTTGCTCATTTAATTGCAGGGAGAGGCAACAGGTGATAGAAGGGAAAAGCCCTGGAAGTCACCTTGAACCCTAGTGCCGGCTGTCTGCTAGGACTGTTATGAGGATGCGGGGAATTCATAAGGTTCTGCGCTTTTGCACGGCTTATAAGGCCCTTCGTGTGCTAGCCCCATCTCTTTGATTCCTTCCCCTGACCCCCGAACTCTCACATTTCCCACCCCATGTTCTACCAGTGCAAATCTCCGAATGCCTCAAATACACCATACCTCCGCCACCCCCAATTCGAAGGTGCCCTGACCGGAACACTCATGTTTTCCCTCTGTGCTTCACACCACACCAGGCCCATTTAGCTACCAGTCTCAGCTAGCACTGGTCCAGTACTCCAGACCAGATTTTCTAATGTTAGTGATGAGGGTTTTATACTGACTACATCTAAATAGCTGACCAGGGCCAAGAAACATCCAGATTTCTGCTTCCGGCTGAACCACCAGGCCTGCCACTCAGTTACGAGGGGCCGAAGGGGTCTGGCGTGGCTGTTTCTTTACAAAGCCAAGCTTCTGCCGCTGTGCTGGCGTCACTGTGCTAAGTGGCTCTGTGATGATGTTGAATATCTTTCCAGTACCAAATCCAGTCTCCTAGGCTAGAGTATATTCATAATTCCTTAGACTTGCCTGCTTCCTTATTCCCTACCAAACTGCTACTATCATCTTCACCAAGTTTCCAGGCTCCTTCAAAATCACAAACATTGGGAATCTGATCTCTACCAAGATTTTTAAATACCTGGGTGATGCAAGTCAGCATAGACCGTAAGCTGAACACCTCATAATTCTTTTACTGTCTCTCTTTCTCTCTGGGACTTTTCACATTCACATCTGAAATGATCCCAACATTGATTTAAGATTCTTTAATTCCAACGCCTAATTTCTTCTTTTGGGTGTGTATGCTTTGTTCAGTTTTAATCAGCTTTAAGTTATAATTTACTATAAAGTACATTTATTTATTTAATCCTCTCCTGAGTACATTTTTTCCATTGATTTTTAGATAGAGAGGAAGGGAGGGAGAGAGGGAGGGAGGAAGAGAGAGAGAGAAACATCCATGTGAGAGAGACCCATTGATTGGTTGCCTCCTGCACAACTTTGACCAGGGCCTGGGATCAAAACAGCAACCCAGGCATGTGCCCTCGACTGGGAATCGAACCTGAGACCCTTTGGTCCAAGGACTGATGCTCTAACCATTGAGCAAACTGGCTAGGGCTAAAGCATGTCAATTTTAAGTGTACACTGATGACTTTAGAAACTTGTATACACTTCAGTAACCTCTATCACAATCAAGATATAGACTATTTCCACCCCCTCCCTTGCTAAAAGTATGGTGTGCCCCTTTGCAGTTAATTCTCTCCCCAACCTTTTTCCGGGCAATTAGCTACCTGCTTTCTCTCCCTGCACATTTGCCTTTTCAGAATTTTATAAAAATTGAATAAATCAGTATATAACCAATGTGCCTGATTTCTTTCACTTAGCATAATGTTTTTGAGATTAATCCAAGCATTCCATATTATTATTTAGTGGAATTCTATTATTTATCAATTCAATTATTTCCAGTTTGTATTTACTATAAATAAAACTGTATGACTATTCAGCTATAAATCTTAGTGAGGACAAACGTCTTCAGTTTTCTGGATAAGGATGTAGAAGTGTGATCATTGGGTAACTGTGTGCATAACTGTATAAGAAATTGCCAACCTGTTTTACAAAGAAGCTGTGGCATTTACATTACCACAGGCAACATACCAGGGTTTCACTTGGCCAGCACTTGGTATTGTCAGTTTTAATGCCATTCCAGCAGGTATGTAATGGTTCTCCTTGCATTTTAAATGAATATTTCCCAGATGATTAATGATGCTGAGCATATTTTCATACAGTTATTTTATATACTACATTTATAACTATACTTTTATAAAATAAAATAATATATTTTTATTTATATTTATTTTATATACTCATTTGCTATTCTTTTTCGAAGAGTTTTGGTTTTCAAGTCTTTCATACTTTATAGATTTTAATCATGTTGCTTGCGTTCTTAATTTGAATTGAAAAGGTTTTTATATATTCTGGACACAAGTCCTTTATCTGATAGGATTTTTTAAAATATATTTTCTCCCAGTCTGCAACTTGCCTTTTTTACACCGTTTCTGTGTTTCTCCAAAACAGTT